AACATTTTTACTTAATTTAGTTAATAAAGCTCTGCTAAAAATATGCCAATCATTATGAAGCAGAGTTTACCCCCATTTTCAATATAATCAAATAATTAAAGCACATCTACCTTAGTTTATGAATCTTAATTTGGAGTTTTCACGAAAAATTTTCAAGGATAATTTTAATGTCAAGCGATATTCAAATGAGAGCATGTTTTAAACTTTTTAGAAAGTGCAATATTTTATCCATTTGTATGTGTAAGTTGTTTCAAGAAAGCTTTCATTACTCAGAAAGCAAAGCTTTTACCAAAGTGAGCTTACAGTAGATAACCACTGTAAATTTTGCTATTTAAGAAACTTTTGTAATTCTAAAACACTTGTTTTTTCAAGAGCACCCTTAGAAAACAAACTTTACTAACTACTCACAGCTTAGTTTTTATGCTTTGATAGAATAATACCTTCTATAATATAATTTTATTACTTAAGTTTCGAGTATTTCTATGTACAAATTTATCTCTTATCTTATTTAATTTGGTACTACATATATTTTTCTCTAAGCAAATCGTATTTTCATATTTTCGGTATATGTACTTACTTTTAACAGGTACATATTACAGTTATTCGATTTTTAAAGAATTTTAGTTGAATCCAATTTTATGTTCCTTACGTCCGATCCGTTTAGTTTTCCTTTGAAGTCGCAGCATCATAAATCACAAATTCATAGATTTTTCACTTTTGATTTTCTCATCGTTTATTTCTTTCTTTCTTTTCTTTTCTTGAAATGTCTTCTTTAAGATTTTCTGATGTTCCCAGGATGTTCGATTTCCGGGCCGGAGGGTTGTAATCTATTCATATATCATTTGCCGCAAGAGTTCGGCGATGCGGAGTTGATGCAGATGTTCCTGCCATTTGGTAATGTGATCAGTTCAAAGGTCTTCATTGATCGTGCTACAAATCAGAGTAAATGTTTTGGTAAGTCTGTATCCACACACACACACACACACACACACACTAATAACTTTATTACATATTATTTATGTATTACATCTCCTTTTGAGTACCAATAAATATTTCAAATTTGAACTTGTTTACAGGTTTTGTTTCATTCGATAATCCTGCCAGCGCTCAAGCGGCCATTCAGGCAATGAATGGCTTCCAGATTGGCATGAAAAGACTGAAAGTTCAACTAAAGCGGCCAAAAGATGCCAGCCGACCCTATTAACAATCGGAGTTCCTTAAAGCGTTACACAACATAAACAATTACAAACGATTACTTCTTGCGAAAATAATGATGAAACAGTAATTCCAAAAGCAACAACAAAAAAGATATATATACAACCAAAAAACCCCTATTACAAAATAGAACAAAAAAAAATTGAAACAAAACTAGATAAAAGCGCAGCAGGCAAAACTCTAAATTCAACAACAGTCAGCAGTAGAAATACCCAGAAGCAGCAGCAGCAGCAATCGTGGTAAAAAATACCAGTAATGTAGTCTTCAGATTCCGTATGAGGTTAAAAGTTTGAGCCCATAAGATGAATCCACTCAGCAAAAAAAAAAAAAACAAATGCAAGTTTACAATAAGGAATATCCTAGTAAAATCCCACAGTAAACAGCCGAATAACAAAACATAAGTGAGGTGAGTAAAAGAAAGTAAGGAATAGTAATACAGAAAGTTTTAAACCGCAACATAGAATTTGTGAAGCTTTTAATAGAATATCAGTGCGTAAGCAATACAGTCTATAGAAAGCCTTAATAAGCTTCGCCCGCGGTATACGTTTTCGTCGTGACGGATGAATTCTATAGAAAGCTTATAAAAGCGCTATATTTTGGACTTCACAAAATGGAAAAAAATTGGATGTCATATCACAACACTGCAATATTTTTAGTGCCAAAATTTTAGCTTCTATGTATCGAAAACCAGCTCTCGCACTTGAATCAGAAAATGGTCGCATTTGTAATTGAGCACCCAATTAAGTATGTATCTGAGCTCCTTATAGCTTCTCTAAAAAAGCTAAGACAAACTTATAAATTTTTTTATATATTGGCTGTCATGAGAAATCATATGTCGCTCGAAGGCTATGTAAAGCTTTAGATCCCAACATCGTATAAAATTTTATCAAATTAAGAGCTTTTTGAAGTCAGCATGCGGATGCAACGGTTATCAACGAACTTTCATGCCTGATTTTATAAAACTTCTGGCCTACAAGGCAGTGCTGGTCTAAGAGAGCTTTTTCAGTAGTAGTTCATATAAAATACAGGGGAAGCTTAAAGCAGCTCAGAAGCAGTATCTGTAAAGCAGCCAACTTTGCTGAGGAGTCTAAACGCAAGTGGACTAATAACACTAGGAAAAGAGCTTTCACACATCATTGAAAACCGCTTGAGATTTCAACTATCCCACGCGGTATAAATGAAACTTGTTTATTAAGTAAAATAATAACATTAAAAAAGAGCTTTCTTACGAATTTCGCATCAAGAAGCGCTTTCGCTCACCAACTTTTTGTGCTATGAAAGTTAGTAAGTGAAAGCTCTATTTTTTTAAAATAAAGATATGTATACTAGTAGTTTACTTGTACTTTACACGTATGCTTACCTAAATAATTAAGAAAGTGAAAGCTTGAAAGCTTAAATTTTATTTACAAATATTTTTTAACAAATTTTTCCCTCTTTTAGGTCAGAAACACACAGCAAAAGCATACAACCAAGCTAAATAAAAGAGTCTTGCCCGATGATGTAAATCCAGCTTCCTATCAACTTATCAGCCGACCGATCCGTATCCAAACAAGATTTCACTAAAACCTCTGCTAAACAATTGATTACAAAACACATCCACGCACACACAAGCAAATAAGTAATAAAGTGGAATTCATTTTTTTTTTTTCGTCAAACGTCAATGAAAAAATAACACGCGGATTAAGTGTATATATAATACAACATTTATTACAAAAAAAAAGCATACGTATACATTTAGTATGTGTTTAAAGAAAAATCCCAAAAAAATATACATACATACATATATTATGAAAAAAAACATTTAGAACTGAAATACCGCTAACGAAAATGCGCGTACGAGTAGAAAATAAATTGGATGTCAAAGAGGAGTTGAACAATTTTTGCCAAACCAAAAATAAAATAAAACATACAACAAAAAATAATATCGTAGATATATATACAAACACACGCATATACATTATACACACATATATATATATATATGATAAATATATTTACTAAATAACTTTATCGCGAGGCAAAAAAAAGAAAACAAAACGTACTTATGTATATGAAAATAAAAATGAAAATTTAACTCTTATTATCAGCAGATTTCTTTAAATTTTCAAAAAGATATGCATATTTGAAGATTTATTCAGAATTTTTTAGGCACACAATCACACTTTAAAGTTTGATATTCCATTCAATTACAAACACTTTGCATACATAGATATAAATTAATACATACATACATACATGATAACTGCAACAATAGTTGAATAAATTAATTAATCGATTAACTAATTAATTACCACTACAATTAATATTATCACACACGTAAACAATACCAACAACAAAAGCTGACTGGAAAATGCGACCAAAACATGAAACAAACAGCAACAACTGAACTGTTCTGGGTTTTCAAATAAAAAAAAAAAAAACAAATATATAGACGAGAATGCATACATCAATAAAAATTAGAGCAAGTTGCGAACAACTGAAGTAATTAAAATTAAAAGAAGAAAAAAAAACAAAAAATAATAATTTTTATACAAAATTTAAAATTGAAAAATCTAAAAAAAAATTAACTATATACTTCATTGAAATAATGCAAATTATCGCATACAAAACATAATAGATGCATAAAAATTACATTATTAGTAAAAAAAGAATCATAATGGGAATTTATTAAAATTAGAGAACAACAAAAACTTAGTAAACAAACCACAAACATAGTACGACGTGCAGCCAGCAGGCACCATTAGAACTAAATAAGTAAATAATTACAAAAAATTAATTATTAAAAATTTATTACCAAATACAAATAGTTTAAAAAAATGCGAAGCAAGTAGTGAATATAAAATACATATATTAGCCAGCGTAAATTTGAGCTGAACAGCGAAGAATATTAAAAAGTAAATGATGATGGAGAAATAGAATGAAAGAAATGAAAATATGGTAAATATTTTTCTCGTACAGTTTGTAATAAACATAAAAGTTCCAAAAAACGTTGAGATTACAAGCCTTAAAGTTCCACAATATCAATTAAAAAACTCAAAACAAAAACAAAGTCAAGATATACAAACAAAAACAAATTGCGAAAAGCTATAGTCTGACAAAAGCAGGGCTGTTGGCAGGTGGAGGAGAGAGAAAACCAGGGAGAGACAGACAACAATAGAGAGGTAAAAACGAACAAATTATGGATAAATAATTAGTGAGGGAGAAACAGAAGAGAATAAACTAGATCAGAGACGATGAGGGGGAGCTTTTATCTTGCGTATTTATGTCCATAAAAAATATTTATAAAACTTTAAAAGGCTCTGCGCTCAAACAAGGTGCTACCCACCACCGAAAAAGAGAGGAGCGCTTTAATTCGTTTGCTGCAAGATGGAAAAGAACATCACATATAGCTGGAACAGATCAACAATTGCTTTTATTGAGAAAAAGTCATTACGAGAGAGAGAGAGAGAGAGAGAGAAATTCACAGCAACGGTGGAAGAAATTACAAAGCTTCTTGGAGTGAAATAACACAAAGTTTATATGCATGGAAAGGCTAAGTAAAATTAAATGGGATAGTAAAATGAAAGCAGTTTTAATAGAGTCAGCGACTGTAAGTCTACATATGAAAGTGGCGATTAAAGAGAGCTTTTACTATGTTAGGGTTCTTGCAAAATCTATAGAAAGCCTTAAAAAGCTTATATCCCGAGAAATCTTTTTAATGATTGGTCTTTACTATTGAATGTCATATAGACTCTCTTAAGGTAAAAGTGCCCTCTGCCTAATACTGATATAAAACATAGATAGGCATTTTTGTTTGTGAGACTGTGTGGGTAAATGCGAGAGTAGCTTCACTACAGTGGTGCTAAGAACAAAATGTTTTCCCAAACCTACACCTTAATTAACAGCATTGATATTTTAAAAGTAAACAATGAACACACGCAATTATTAGAGACTCTTTTTTTCAACTTTGAAGACAGATTTCAAGACTTTCGAAAAATTAAGCCTTTAATTGACATATTTGAAAGTCCGTTAACTTGTGACATAACCCAATATTCATATGAAACTCAAAAAGAATTATTAATTCTAAGAAGTGAAATGTTAGTTAACGATGAAACAGATATTATCGATTTCTGGAGAAACTTAGATAGCGAATTTTATACAAATCTTACAGAAATTTCCCTTAAGATTTTATCATTTTTCCCATCAACATTCTTCTGTGAGCACATTTTTTCTGACATGAAATTCATCTGTTCAAAACAAAGGAGCAGATTGACTTCCAAAAATTTGTCAAATGCTTTATTAACAAGAAATTGCCATAAAGGTATATACGTTAATGAGGGCCCTAAATGCTTTCATTCATTAAATAGCGCATAATTTACTATTGCATAAAAAACAAAAGCAAAGCGACGATACGTGTCATTCCTTTGCTTGCTGAAACACAACTGACATGAAAATTTTGTTCTAACACCACTGTGGCTCAATTGATTTTTCGCTCTCAACAGCAACTGAAATGAAGAGCATAAGAATACGTGTGCAGAGCGTAATACCCACATGGGGTACCTTTGCCTATCTATGATATAAAACCATATAAAGCCGTCTTAAAAGCTTTGCTCGCAGGTAGTGACTGATATACATAATGCAAACAAACAGCTTTAAATAGCCGTGCATGCAGGTTACGTTTTGGTCATTACTGCATTCACGATCGAAATATGTAAGTATATCCCACAGGAATAGCTTTTCAAGGCTTTTCTGTAGATTTGAAATGAGCGTACACAAAATAAAAGTCCTTTTTATTCGTGGCTGCAATATTGCTTNCATCGAAATAAGTATATCCCACAGGAATAGCTTTTCAAGGCTTTTCTGTAGATTTGAAATGAGCGTACACAAAATAAAAGTCCTTTTTATTCGTGGCTGCAATATTGCTTCATGGAGAGCCGCTTTTGAAGTTNCGTTCAAAACAAAGGAGCAGATTGACTTCCAAAAATTTATCAAATGCTTTATTAACAAGAAATTGCCATAAAGGTATATACGTTAATGAGGGCCCTAAATGCTTTCATTCATTAAATAGCGCATTATTTACTATTGCATAAAAAACAAAAGCAAAGCGACGATACGTGTCATTCCTTTGCTTGCTGAAACACAACTGACATGAAAATTTTGTTCTAACACCACTGTGGCTCAATTGATTTTTCGCTCTCAACAGCAACTGAAATGAAGAGCATAAGAATACGTGTGCAGAGCGTAATACCCACATGGGGTACCTTTGCCTATCTATGATATAAATCCATATAAAGCCGTCTTAAAAGCTTTGCTCGCAGGTAGTGACTGATATACATAATGCAAACAAACAGC